TTAATACTCGGTGCCTGCTCTGCTGAATCCCTCCCAAGCCATTTAATTAACAGATCCAACTCTTCTCCAGCTGTGAGATCTAAGCTTTTGATGGTGTTGAGGAACGATGATTTCCAAGCTAAATAATTATCCGGCCGATCGTCGAACCTTGTAAACCCGGATGACACGAGCTGGCTGCGTGCCAGATATTTGGCGAGATCAAGTGAGGTGTCACTGGAGTAACATGTTGTAGAGGGCATGTTGTCGTTACAATGACTGGAGTAGTGTGGGAAGTTGATGTGACTTGTGGGATGATGCTGCAATTGGGTCTGTGGCTTAGGAATATATTGTCAGGGGGAACATCTTCTGGGTAGCTGGATAGTATGTGATACTCTGACGCTGGAGATTTTTCCGTTCTTTAAACTCATCAGACTGAATGCTTGGGGTTTGGAATATGAAATGGTAACATGGGGCTATTAGAAAGAGATAGAGCGAGGAGGTAAGCGAGAGAGACGAGGAGGAGACGAGATGACGAGAGAGAGAAGAGAGAGAGAGAGCAGAGAGATCTAGAGAGAGCGAGCGCGGCTATCGATAGAGATGAGACGAGATAGTACGATATCTATCAGCTATAGCTCTAGGTACGAGTATCTATATCTCTCTCTCTCTCTCTCTCTCTCTCTCTCTCTCCCTCTCTCTCTCTCTCGCTCTCTCTTTTACTGCATGTAGCTGTCCACTAGCACTTGTGTCTGTGTGCTGACTAACGTACTCTTCGGTGCGCTGTTTTGAATTGTGTGTTGGTAGCAAAGGTGGTCTATGCTCTATTTCTGATGGCCCCAGATTTGCTACTGCAGCCTCCATTACGGCTGCTTCAATTCAATTCAATTCAAAACCTTTATTTATCCAGGTAAAATCCCATTGAGATCAATGATCTCTTTTTCAAGGGAGACCTAGCAGCCTCTGCTTCGCCCTCTCTCTCCAGGGCATCTAGTGTGGCTTCTAGACGGGCCTTTTCTATCTTTAATTCTATTTATTTCCTTGCAAATGCAGCTCTTGCTTGTGCGGCTTCAGCGCGGGCTTTAGTGGCTGCCATACTTGCTCTTGACACATTTGATGACTTGGATGAAACAGACTGGTTACTGTGGTGAATATGTCTGCTCTACCTGCCGTGGATTTCTGCAGCTGTCGTGCTGGCCTCGTTGCCGTGGGTGACAATGCAGGAGGAATCCAGCATCCGGGAGATAGCACTTGCTTGAAGGTCTTCCTTTTCACTATACTGGCCTCGCCGAAATCTCCTTCTCGGTTAACCAGCGAGATAAACACTCTCACAAAGTAAAACTCAGGACCACGAGGTGATGTTTTGAAGCTTTACTAAGCAAGCAGTGTGAAACTGAAGGAATACAGAAACAAGAGCAATATTGTAAATATCAACTACATGACATAATAATTACGTATACTAGATATATATCCAAGACGGCATGAAATTAGGTCAGTGCCAAAGTACAGATGCAATGTTTAGGCTATATTGCATATACGGCAACTACAAAATGTCAGCTGGCATCAAATATCACAATAATGCACTCAAGGTAAAGATATATAATGTAGAAACATAAAAACTTACAGGAAATGCCTTCTCAAGGGCTATGAATGATGGATGGCACAGGATGAACAGACGTCACCTTAGCTGGAGCACACATGCTATTCTGAAATGTCTCAGGCTAACTTCCTGTCACATGGGAACTAAAAATAACTGCTTCATGCAGTACGGGAAGTCACCAGAAGGAGTCACTATAACACACAAAATATTTGGCGGAGCCAGAACAATGGCGACAGATCCCTCGCCATGAAACACTGTGTTGTCCTAACTCAATGGAAAAACGTCCAAACGACACCAGATTTCAGATGATGGCTAATGGTCCATGGGCCCTCCACAGCTCCACGCCAATTATGGGATGCCATCATATGCCGTTTCCATGGCAACGCGTCCCTCGCCATAAAACACAATGTTGTCTTAAGTCAATGGAAAATGGTCCAAACGGCACCAGACTTCAGATGACAGTTAATGGTCCGGCCCTCAACACCTCAATATGACAATAGTGAGTTTTCCTCAAAAGCTGTTGCTATGGCAACCAGAGGTCGCGTTAACCGAATATCTTCCGTCAATGACGGATTTTTTCTAACAATGACGGAAAAATCTGAAAGCAGTCCGTCATTTTGACAGATTAGAACACAACTCGGAACAGCGCCAAAATGTCCACCAGCGGCCCACATTATATTACATCCTTAGTGGCCAGGTAGACTGAGGGCGATCTACTGTACTCTACTGTAGTCTGTAACTATTATTTAGTCATTCACACCCCTGTCCAGTTGGTGGTGAGTGTGTGTATATTAAGTAGCTATTGTCTAGTCTTGTTTTTGACCTCGTTGATTACCTCGTTGTTTAACCGGCTTTAGCAATCGCAAAATGTCACGGCACCTGATCGTCCAAAGCTTTTTTAATAAGCCCAACAGTAATTGTGATGGTGTGGATAAACGAGGTGAAAAGAGGGATTGATGCGGTGGAGGATGAAGGACAAGCCAGTAAGACTAAAACTGACAACGTTCAGCCAGCGGCAGAGGGGCAAGCAAGTGGCAAGGAGTTCAAGCGGGAGTACCGGGTTCAGTGGGAGCAAGAGTTTAAGTGGCTGAGGAAGGAAGATGGCAAAATGTTCTGCGACATCTGTAGAAAAGCTAAGATGAGTAACGGATTTGTCCGAGGGTGCACGACGATGCAGAAATCAGCGTTCAGGCTAGGCTAGCAGGTCAATTGAGTTGTTCTTGTACATTTTTGTTCATATTTAGATTGTAATTGTCTCATTTGAAATGATGGCATTGTTCATATTTGCCTGTTTAGGCACAATGATCGTGGTGTTTTTAGCAGCCTCTGCCCCCCTCTGCTGTGCTGTCAGTGCAGGAAAAAATAAATCATTCATGTTCGTGTTGACATGAAAAGTGACCACACGGTCGGTGTCTCTGTTCATCTTCTTTTTTTTTTCATGCCCTTAAAACTTCTGTATGAATCATTAAAACATGAATGAATGAACATTTGCTGCTCAGTACCCAAACATAAATATTAAATAGGTCTCATCTCATCATTAAAACATGAAAAATAAAATGACGGATAATATTGGATTATGACGGAAATGTTATGATTCTGACAAATGACGGACAACGAAAAAGTCTAACGCAACCACTGATGGCAACGCATCCCTCACCGTTAAGCACGATATTGCTATAACTCCTGTGTAAATGGCACAAAAGCATTCAAATTTCACATGTGTGCTAACCGTCAAGCCCTCGAGACATATATGTGTCAGTTTTGAGATTTCGTCAAATGTCGTCGCTCTGGTAACAAAATGGTCACTGTGAAACATGGTTTTCTCATAGTTAACATGCTCCAAACGGCACAAAACTTCACAGGTTTCATAACGATGCAGCCCTCAACACATCTAGGCGTATTATGGGGTGTCATCAAATTCCGTTGCCATGGCGACAGATCACTCGCCATCAAACACCATGTTTATGATACTGCTGTAACTCCTACTGTATGTATGTTGTCTGATCGGCCTGAAACTTCCCACATTTGCCAACGGCCGAGTCCTCGAGACACCTAGACACACACGTCGACGTGCGGAAAACAGCCTGCGGAGTGTCGAAGACCCGCTCAATGCTGCTTGCAGCTTTAATTATTATTGTTATTATTATTGTTATTATTATTTATTTTAATACCGTGAATTGCTGTTGAGAATAAATACTAAAATCTCATGATGCATTGCTTTCAATATAAATATATTATAATACATATATATAATATAACAATAGTTGAAAAAAAGAATGTATTTAATTCTTAATTTTATCATTCTTGCTTTAGTAAAAAATAAACATTACATTATATATGTGTAACCCACTCAAATAATGCAGTGAGTTTTTCACCCTGTAATAACCAGCAACTCCCACTCGGGGCAGTGCTGGGGCAGCAGAGTCTGCATATGAGGGAGGAGAGGAAGAGCAGGCCAGGTGTGGTTGTTAATGAGGCTCAATGAGTGGCAGCTGAGTGTGGGCCCTGTGTTTGTAAGAGTGTGGGCCCTGTGTTTGTAAGAGTGTGGGCCCTGTGTTTGTAAGAGTGTGGGCAGTGTTCGAATTGTTTGAGGATGTGCTTTTTTGATGCTGCGGGGAACCAGGAACTAGCAGAACCGACGAACGTTTTTGTAGCTGCAGTTGTTGTCACCAGAGAAAGGATTCTAAAGGATTCTACTCACCAGAGAAAGGATTCTAAAGGATTCTACTCACCAGAAAAAGGATTCTAAAGGATTCTACTCACCAGAAAAAGGATTCTAAAGGATTCTACTCACCAGCAAAAGGACTGATGGTCATTGGATTACCAGAGAGAGAGAAACTACAGACTACCCGGGTTCGATTAATGTTGTTTTGTCCATGATAGCAGATTGGATTTCACTGGGGTGGATGAGGGGTTTGTGAAAGTGTTGTATGAATGTTTAATAAAATGCCGGCTATATTAATTTGATATTGTTTTTTCTATTTATATTATCTTCTACTACTCATTGAAAGCAACCTAGTACATAGAAGTGTTACATATGTTTTTCAAGTTAGTTTTTGTGATTTCATTATAAATTATATAATTTTTTTATTTGAGATATTTATTTTCTTATTTCTTATTTCAATTATTTTTTATTTTTACATTATTTTATTTTTACTTTTTTTTCTTATTTTCTTAATTTACTTATATTTTTTTTATTTGAAAACACTATTATATTAATAATAGTATTTTCAATCACAAAAAACAAATTATTTTTTACAAGATTATTATATCTTTCATTATTATTTTTATTTAACTATATTTATTTGTAATTCCTAATTTTTTTTAAATTATGTTATTATTATTTTACTTATTTTTTGTCCCTCAGAATACAAAGTCATTCAAACTAGCTGCACCTTTACCAGCTTTGAGAACACTTTAATGATCAATCATTATAAAGAAGTATTATTACAAACAAAAACATTTTCCACAACTTTTAAAACCTGTCTGACCGTTTCAGCTTTATATATATCTATTATTATTATTATTATTATTATTAATATTATTATTATTAATATTGTAATTATTATTTACAGCGATAACTTTTTCAATTTTTACACCACAGGGGGCAGTGAAATGATGCTTAAAAGAAGAACTCTAATCCCATGATGCATTGCGGCGGTTAGTTTATAGCTTCCGGTCCTCAGAAGCTACACGTTGCTAACAGACGTTGATGCAGATGTTATACCGAATGTAATGTGTTTAAGAGACTTCTAAAACACATACAAAGAGTTAGTTTATCCTTGGAGGGTGATTTATCCGTTAAACCGTGTCGTTGCCTCCCGTTCTTTGTTCGTAGCTTTGTATACCACTTGGCTGATCGGTAAACATAAGTAAAGGCATTAAACGGAGATTAGTGTGTTTAACGGCAGTGTTTTATCAAGGAGAAGAAATACTGAGCAACCAGGACGAAGAGGAGAGAGAGTTGTGTGTGTGTGTGTGTGTGTGTGTGTGTGTGTGTGTGTGTGTGTGTGTGTGTGTGTGTGTGTGTGTGTGTGTGTGTGTGTGTGTGTGTGTGTGTGTGTGTGTGTGTGTGTGTGTGTGTGTGTGTGTGTGTGTGTGTGTGTGTGTGTGTGTGTGTGTGTGTGTGTGTGTGTGTGTGTGTGTGTGTGTGTGTGTGTGTGTGTGTGTGTGTGTGTGTGTGTGTGTGTGTGTGTGTGTGTTGTGTGTGTGTGTGTGTGTGTGTGTGTGTGTGTGTGTGTGTGTGTGATACATGTAGTGGAGTAAAAGTACCATTTATCTCGGAAGTGTTCTAAATGTACAAAGTAGCATTAAATAGAAATACTCAAGTAAAGTAAAAGTACCTCTAAATGGTACTTAAGTACAGTTCTTGAGTAAATGTACTTAGTTACTTCCTCCCTCTGCTATGACCCTACAAAGTAGCTGTAGATTTGTTTCGTTGTGTCTGTCAGTTGTATTGAGTTGTCTTGTTTTGTGTCAGCTGTAGTTGTGTTGATTATTTCAGAGACACAGCCGGAGAAGGAGCACTGAGAGCAACATGGAGGAGAATAAAAAGACCCCTGGAGCTCAGGTCAGTGTGCACTTCATCACAATATATTCCTAACACTGTTATCCCCAAATGAAAAGACCTGTTTAGATAATACAATATGAATACACAATATGGTCAGATATAGGTTAGAACGTTGTTGTACACGATAACACTTTATTGGCCAGATCAAGTCTGAAATGTGACTTGAAGGAGGCTTCAGTCTGACTTTATTGAATCTCCATTAGATGGTAGCAGTTCATATTCTCTGTTCAGAGCATGCTTTTGGTCCCAGAATGTTGTTGGTCAGCCTCTCAGGCTATTAGGGTCTGCTGAGTCAGAAAGTCTCTGACGGGGTGGACCAACAATATTTGAGCAGATTTTTAACGGGTGGAGCAGTTTTGATTTTAAAGCTGTTGACAAACACTTGTAGCATTGCAGTACTGCAGAACAGACACAATCACAGATGTAAAGTAGGGTTGCATGATTTGGGGAAATAATCTAATTGCGATTTTTCTGACAGATATTGCAATTTGATTTGCAATATTTGTTTTTAAGCAACCCAGCGGACGTTTATTGTAAAATGCGGCTATATCTCCGTCTAGGAAGGTCGTATCAACGTGTTCCCGTCTCTAGCACCCCCGCAGCCCGAGCTACGAGAGAAATAACTAAACTTACATGAAACTTCCGTTGGGTTGCTTTAAAGTCAAACTTCAGTTTAAGATTCACCCTGTAATAGATGTAAAACATGTGAGCATTACTAACCTGACTCGGATGGTTTGATTCACCAAATCATCTAGGAAAGCTCCATTGGAAGCCATTTGGAAAGGGCAGGCCCCAGGGATGTAACGATATATCGCGGTAAATAAACGTCTCAATACCGTCGTGAGACTGACAAAATATACCGCGATTTTTTTAAATGTATTTATTTTAATATTTGTTTTATTTATTATTTATTTATTTTAAACCTTTATTCAACTAGATGGTCCCATTGAGATCATCAATCTCTTTTTCGAGGGAGACCTGTCCAACATGGCAGCAAGTAGGTTACAACATGAACATAAAACAACAGATAACAATAAAGGACATCGTATTTACAGGGCTACATGTACACACCTAGAGACATTGACAAGTACCAACAGTATATTTATATCTCGCCCTGTCAATAAGCCTCACCTTCTTGACAAAAACTGTATTGTTTTTGAAGTGGTGGAGAGACAATGCACAGTTTTACCCACTGCTGTTACCCATGGCCAAAGCATATCTCTCTGTCCCAGCAACATCAGTACCAAGCAAGAGCGTTTTTTCCACAGCAGGGGATATTGTAAACGCCCAATCATCCCAGCTTCTACCTCGAAATGTGGACATGCTCATATTCCTGAAAGATAACCTTGATGATGCTGAGTGAGTGAGTTAGTGAGTTAGAGAGTTAGAGTTGAGTTACTTGAAAAACTAAAGTGAAATTTGATTTATTCTATTGCAGGGTCTGATTATTATATTGTTGACACTACTACTATCCTACTAAAATGCTGTACAAATTAGATTTATTATTTAACAAAGAAAAAAAATTCAATTTAAAAAAAAAAAAAAAAAAAAAAAAATCACATTTTTTTGCTTTATTTTTCAATATCGCGATAAAGAGTTTTTGCTACCGTTACATCCCTAGCAGGCACTTTCATAAATACTTGGCAGGTGATTGGATCAATCTGTCTATCACTATCATGGGCCACTTCTGATTGGTTAACAATGGCTTCTGATTGATGTGGATGACTGACAAACAAGAAGAAAGAAAACAATAACAAATTAAATGTTTGTTTTTTTTAAATCACAGGCTTTGCGATTTGATAATCGCATCATTTAGCTAAATTTAGTTCATCATTTACATTTTGATTTCATTTTTTAAATTTTATTTTCAGTCTTTATTTCGAACAGATTAAAAAATAACAAATGTGAAAAACAGAATACCGTATTGTTAAATACAGTATTTATCCACATTCATGGTAATATTTGTATATTCAACAAAAACAAAAAAAAGTCTTCATATTAATAATAATAATAAATCACATGTGTCTGAAAGGGAGTAGGAGGAAGCAAATGCTTATTACACTGAACAAAAATATAAATGCAACACTTTTGTTTTTGCTCCCATTTTTCATGAGATGAACTCAAAGATCTAAAACATTTTCTATATACACAAAATAACCATTTATCTCAAATATTGTTCACAAATCTGAAAAAATCTGTGATAGTGAGCACTTCCACCTCACAGGTGTGGCATATCAAGATGCTGATTAGACAGCATGATTATTGCACAGGTGTGCCTTAGGCTGGTCACAATAAAAGGCCACTCTGAAACGTGCCGTTTTGCTTTATTGGGGGGGTCTGGGGGGGGGGGTCCGAAAACCAGTCAGTATCTGGTGTGACCACCATTTGCCTCACGCAGTGCAACACATCTCCTTCGCATAGAGTTGATCAGGTTGTTGATTGTGGCCTGTGGAATGTTGGTCCACTCCTCTTCAATGGCTGTGCGAAGTTGCTGGATATTGGCAGGAACTGGAACACGCTGTCGTATATGCCGATCCAGAGCATCCCAAACATGCTCAATGGGTGACATGTCCGGTGAGTATGCTGGCCATGCAAGAACTGGGATGTTTTCAGCCTCCAGGAATTGTGTACAGATCCCCGTGCATTATCATGCTGCAACATGAGGTGATGGTCGTGGATGAATGGCACAGCAATGGGCCTCAGGATCTCGTCACGGTATCTCTGTGCATTCACAATGCCATCAATAAAATGCACCTGTGTTCGTCATCCATAACATACGCCTGCCCATACCATAACCCCACCACCACCATGGGCCACTCGATTCACAACATTGACATCAGACATCGCTCACCCACACAACGCCACACACGCTGTCTGCCATCTGCCCTGAACAGTGAAAACCGGGATTCATCCGTGAAGAGAACACCTCTCCAACGTGCCAGACGCCATCGAATGTTCGCATTTGCCCACTCAAATCGGTTACGACGACGAACCAGAGTCAGGTCGAGACCCCGATGAGGACGACGAGCATGCAGGTGAGCTTCCCTGAGACGGTTTCTGACAGTTTGTGCAGAAATTCTTTGGTTATGCAAACCGATTGTTGCAGCAGTTGTCCGAGTGGCTGGTCTCAGACGATCTTGGAGGTGAACATGCTGGATATGGAGGTCCTGGGCTGGTGTGGTTACACGTGGTCTGCGGTTGTGAGGCCGGTTGGATGTACTGCCAAATTCTCTGAAACGCCTTTGGAGACGGCTTATGGTAGAGAAATGAACATTCAATTCACGGGCACAGCTCTGGTGGACATTCCTGCTGTCAGCATGCCAATTGCACGCTCCCTCAAAACTTGCGACATCTGTGGCATTGTGCTGTGTGATAAAACTGAACATTTTAGAGTGGCCTTTTATTGTGGCCAGCCTAAGGCACACCTGTGCAATAATCATGCTGTCTAATCAGCATCTTGATATGCCACACCTGTGAGGTGGGATGGATTATCTCGGCAAAGGAGAAGTGCTCACTATCACAGACTTTTTCCGATTTGTGAACAATATTTGAGAGAAATGGTTATTTTGTGTACATAGAAAATGTTTTAGATCTTTGAGTTCATCTCATGAAAAATGGGAGCAAAAACAAAAGTGTTGCATTTATATTTTTGTTCAGTGTATGTATAAAAGACATCAAAAAGTGCATTTTGCATGATAGGAGACATTTAAACTACCTTGATAATAGTTTTGTGCTTTTACTTAGCCTACTTTACTTATATATAATTGTGTTCAGTGTAGTTATTGGGTGTTGGAAATGAATACAATATTTTCTGCTAAAGTTTTTGCTTTTTTAGAATACCACAGTGCAGAAATACTCTATTAATAGTGGAATGTCTGCTTTCGCAATCTTACTAGAGTAAAGGTGTAACATAATTAGTAGATGGATCACACATCCCTATTCTGAGACCAGAGGAATACCACAACGAGTATTTCAACCGCAAAGGCTGGCATTCGGTCATCCTGCAGGGTGTTGTGGATGGTAAGGGCCTCTTTTGGAGTGTTTTTGTAACAAGGAATATTGGTGGACATGATGTGGGTTACTATATCCTTGGTGACTCAGCCTACACCCTGCAAAGATGGCTGATGAAACCTTTCAAAGACAATGGAAGGCTCAAACGCCAGCAACATGTGTAGAACTACAAAACAAGCCGAGCACGAGTGGTGGTGGAGAACGCTTTTGGCAGACTGAAGGGCAGATAGCGGTGCTTGATGAAGCGAAACGACTGCAACATGGACAATATCAAAATCCAGGTAGCAGCATGTTGCGTATTGCATAACCTGTGTGAGCGTCATGGTGATGATTACAGGGAGGAATGGACTGCCTTATCTGCGACCCAGCTTGATGGGCCAGCGCCAGCCATTGTCGAGGCTGGGGGGCAAGACACGCGCACAGCCCTTATGAGGCACCTGAACAGCATGTCAATTGTAAATTGACAATAAAGCTGATCTTTTGTACAGTGCATTTGGTTCTCTCTTTTATTTACCATAGACACAATTACAATAGTGCAGACACACCTTAGTGCAAAGATAAAATGTCAGTATCAAAACAGTGTGGCAATATAATAACAAACTGCCAGGTGTGTCGTATGCACAGTAAATAGGCTCAGCAGTTAACACACCTTTTATTATATATCCTCCTGAGAGGAACTCAGTACACTAACTCCTAAGATGTTCCCTTACTATAATTAATTAAAATATTAAACTCACAACACTGGTAATTACAAACATAACCATTTCTCTTTCTATAAATAGTGCTTGTGTTGATGGACGCCATTTTGAAATACAATGAAATTATAAGCCACATATTTGGGGTGGGACACAATAAATAAAGCTTCGCCAGTTTATAACCGATGAAACATGATGGTATCAGAATAATCATTTATATGAGATGTATAGAATGCTACACAGGTCACTAAAGATAAAATGTCAGAGAAGAAATAAGCAAGATACATGATCTGT